TTGTGTGATTAATTAGGATAAAATATTAAATTAATTTTCTAATTTGCCCACAGGAGTTAGAAAATGGTTGTAATTTAATAGTTTTATCATGAAGTTTGTAAATCTAATTGAATTAGTACTTTAGCCCACATGCAAGTTTTATGTCTATAGATTTATGTTTAGACGTGTTTTATATTGATATAACATGTCATAATATTTCTTTTAGTTTAAAATTTGTTAATATGAGCATGATTATTATATGTTGCAGTTATTCAACCTGTTAATCACTCTGATATAAAAATTGATGTTCCTGAGCTCAATGGGGACAATTATAAAATTTGGAAGGAGAAAATACTTCTTCAATTGGGGTGTATGGACATTGACTATGCCATTAGGAAGGACGAATCGGTTGCTATAACTGATAAAAGCACTCTAGCAGAAGTGGTTCTTTATGAAAGGTGGGAATGATCTAATCGTCTCTGCGTTATGTTCATAAAGACCAAAATTTCTGCTGGGATCCGGGGTTCGGTCGAGCAATATGACAATGTTCGTGTCATATTGAAGGCAATTGATGATCAGTTTGTGTCTTCTGACAAGGCATTGGCCAGTACCCTTATAATGAAGTTCTCTTCTCTAAAGCTTACCGGAATTAGAGGTGTGCGTGAGCACATCACGCGCATGAGGGATATAGCTGCTTAACTAAAGACACTTGAAGTTGAGATGTCGGATTCTTCCTAGTTCACTTCATTTTGTGCACTCTTCCTTCCCATTATGGTCCTTTTAAGATATCCTACAACACACATAAGGATAAGTGGTCTATAAATGAATTAATGACCATGTGTGTTCAGGAAGAAGGACGTTTAGCTATGGAAGAGGGTGAGCAAGTGAATATGACTACTACATCGGGAAAGAAAAGACGTTTTCAGGCCAAAGATAAAGGGAAGGATAAAATTCCTCCTCAAAGGGAAATTAAGAAGGAAGTCAAGTGTTTTTTCTGTAAAAAGAAAAATCATGTAAAGAAAGATTGTCCTAAGTTCCAAAAGTGGCGTGAGAAGAAAGGTAATCAACTTTCGTTTGTTTGTTATGAATCCAATATGGTTGATGTTAATCATAACACATGGTGGATTGATTTTGGTTCTACAATCCATGTTACTAATTCCTTGCAGGGATTGCTAAACCTGCGGAAACCAGTGGGAAGTGAGCATAGCATCTATTCTGGAAACAAGATGCCCTCACATGTGGAAGCAATGGGAACGTGCAAACTAATTTTAGGTAGTGGTTTTTTTTTTGTATTTGGAAAAGACTTTTTATATTCCTAGTTTTGCTAGGAACTTGATTTCAATATCTAGACTAGTAAAATTTGGTTTTTCTTTTAACTTTTCAAACTCAGATTTTAGTTTATCTTTTCAATCAAATGTTATTGGTACTGGAATATTATATGATGGTCTTTTTTGACTTACTTTGCAAAATGAGGATAATTATAAACGTTCATAATAATGCTGGTATTAAAAGATGTGTTGTGAATGAGGATTCCTCTATCTTGTGGCATCGGAGATTAGGTCATATCTCCATTGACAGAATCAAGAGATTAGTAAGTGATGGAGTACTTAATACTCTAGATTTCTCTGATTTTGAGACTTGTATAGATTGCATTAGAGGCAAGCAAACTAACAAGTCAAAGAAAGGTGCTAAGAAGAGTTCTGAAATATTGGAAATAATTCATACGGACATTTGTAGTCCTGATATAGATGCATATCGTGATAAGTACTTTATCACCTTTATTGATGATTATTCACGTTTTATGTATCTCTACTTGCTTCAAAATAAGAAAGAAACACTTGATGCTTTTAAGGTTTTTAAAGCTGAAGTAGAGAAGCAATGTAGAAAGCAAATAAAAATCGTGAGATCAGATAGAGGTGGTGAATACTATGGTAGATACACAGAAAGTGGACAAGCATCTGGTCCTTTTGCTAGATTTCTTCAGGAAAATGGGATTGTTGCCCAATATACAATGCCAGGATCTCCGGATCAAAATGGTATAGCTGAAAGAGGAAATCGAACATTATTGGACATAGTGCGAAGTATGATTGCTAGTTCCAAACTTCCTAAGTTTTTGTGGACTGAAGCTCTGAAAACGGCTGTGTACATACTGAATAGAGTTTCAACTAAGGCAGTCTCAAAGACTCCATTTGAGTTATTCAAAGGTTGGAAACCGAGTTTGCAGCATGTACGCGTTTGGGGATGTCCGTCTGAAGTGAGAGTTTACAATCCTCAAGAAAAGAAGTTGGACCCGAGGACAATAAGTGGGTATTTCGTTGGATATGCCGAAAGATCTAAGGGATATAGGTTTTACTGTCCATCTCATAACACTAGGTTTGTGGAATCAAGAAATGCAAAATTTCTTGAAAATGACTTGATCAGTGGGAGCAGTCAATCTTTGAACATTAGTTCTGAGAAAGACTATTCTAGAAATCTCATTGCAAGTGATAGCATGACTGTTGTCAATAATATGCCTCAAGTACAAGCGTATGTTGAACAACGGGTTTTGAAAATTCCACAAAATGTTGACCCACATCTTGTAGATCCTGAAGTTCAACATATTCCTAATCCAATTGTAGAAAATTCTAGAAATGAGGAAGTTGTTGATCAAGAACTAAGGAGATCTACTCGCTCAAGAAAGTCAACAATTCTTAGTGATTATTTTGTGTATTTGCAAGAGAGTGACTACAATATTGGAGCTGAAAATGATCATGAGAAGTTTTCACAAGCTATAAGTTCGAATCAATCAAACTTATGGTATAATGCCATGAAAGAAGAGATGGATTCTATGGCATCAAACAAAGTCTGGAATCTTATTGAGTTGTCTAAAGGTGTGAAACATATTGGTTGTAAATGGGTTTTCAAAACCATGAAAGATTCACAAGGCAACATTGAAAGATATAAAGCAAGACTTGTTGCAAAAGGATTCACTCAAAGAGAAGGAATTGATTACACGGAGACTTTTTCTCCAGTATCTAAGAAAGATTCTCTTCGAGTTATTATGGCATTTGTAGCTCATTTTGATTTTGAGTTACATCAAATGGATGTGAAGACGACATTCCTTAATGGTGATTTACTAGAGAATGTTTATATGAAACAACCTGAAGGATTTTCCTCTAGTAAGGGTGAGCATTTAGTTTGCAAGCTTAATAAATCAATATATGGGCTGAAACAAGCCTCCCGACAGTGGTATTTTAAAAAAGTTGAAGTTATCACTTCATTTGGTTTTGAAGAAAACATCATGGATCAATGTATATACCAGAAGGTTAGTGGGAGCAAGATATGTTTTCTAGTTCTATATGTTGATGATATACTAGTAGCAACTAATGATAAGGGTATGTTATATGAGGTGAAACAATTTTTCTCTAAAAGCTTTGATATGAAAGATATGGGTGATGCGTCTTATGTCATTCGCATTAAGATTGATAGGGACAGATCTCGAGGCATTTTAGGTTTGTCTCAAGAAGCCTATATTAATAAAGTTTTAGAGAGATTTCATATGAAAGATTGTTCACCAAGCGTAGCCCCAATTGTAAAGGGTGATAGATTCAATTTGAATCAATGTTCGAAGAATGAGCTCGAACGTGAACAAATGAAATCCATTCCATACGCTTCAGCTGTTGGAAGCATTATGTATGCTCAGGTCTGTACCAGACCAGACATTGCATTTGTTGTTGGGATGTTAGGAAGATATCAGAGTAATCCAAGTATTGACCATTGGAGAGCTGCAAAGAAGGTGCTGAGGTACCTTCAAGGGACAAAAGATTATATGCTCATGTATAGACGAACTGAAAATTTGGAGGTGACTGGTTACTTAGATTCTGACTTTGCTGGCTGCATTGATTCACAAAAATCCACATCTGGATATATTTTCATGTTAGCCAGCTGAGCTATATCTTGGAGAAGTGCCAAACAAACCTTGACCGCTACTTCAACAATGGAAGCGGAGTTCGTATCGTGTTTTGAAGCTACTAGTCATGGTGTATGGTTAAAGAGTTTCATATCTGGGCTTAGAATTGTTGATTCTATATCTAAGCCATTGAGACTACATTGTGATAATTCAGCCGCGGTATTCATGGCAAAGAATAATAAAAGTGGAAGTCGAAGTAAACACATCGACATCAAGTACTTAGCCGTGAGGGAACGTGTGAAAGAAGAAAAAGTGGTCATTGAGCACATTAAAACTGAATTAATGATTGCTGATCCTTTGACTAAGGGCATGCCACCTAAGAATTTTAAGGATCATGTAGTACGAATGGGACTCAGGTCTAGTATGTAACATTTGGTTGTACGTACATTTGTTGTTACTTGTTACATTATAAATTTTATGGATATTTTCTCACTTAATTTGTGCACATTTATCTTGAGAATTATCATTTATGTTTGGACCTAGAATAAACATTGGGTTTATTCATTAAGTTAAAAGGCAGTTTGATGGATCAAAGTGCATTGTAATACATGGAAGATACTATTCAATTTTAGAAGACATATCGCTATGATTCGTGTTCTTTGTATTCTATTATTTTGGATATAGTAACATATGGACCAAGTGGGAGAATGTTAGTATTTTATTTTCTCTATTATCTTGTATTATGTATAAACAAGATAATTTTAATGTGGTCCACATGTTCCTATTTATAAAGTGTACAAATACTGTTAATCACTTATTAATTCTATGATGGACAGAATTAATACGTAGACTTTGTACATTTCTATCAAAAGGTACCATATTCCAATAGGTACCATATATGAAAAGGTACATTTATACCAAAGGGTACCATGGGTTATAAAAGGTCTCTAGACTCATCACTTTACAACAACTGAATCTTACACCATCTATAGAGAAAGTGAAAGAGCCTAGAAGATCTTTACCACATAAAAGTGAAAGTGCCGAAGCCCTCACCGTTGTCTTCTACAAGTTCTCCAAATAACTCAAATACAGAAACAAGCAATGATTGGAGGTATGTAATCTCGATCATTCTGGTATGTAATCTCGATCATTCTGCTGTACCGATATATGATTAAATGGGATAAATTTTTTTACACGCGAAGGATTCCGTCCCTTCACCGCAACTTTCACCACAAAGATCTCAGCGACACGCATCCCAGCCACCGCCACCACACTGGCCGAAAATCAAGAAGTTCACAATTCTCCATGGAGCTGAAAAATCCAGCACCAGTATCCTCTGAAGTATATGTCGGCACGAGTCCCAAATTCTCATTTATGGCTGCGAGCGAGAGAAGAACTGTGTAGAAAAAATCCGCAAAATATCTAATCGATCACCGATGAACTCCATGGATGATCAGGTTTTGAGCTTTATTTTGTTTTGTAATTTTCATTTTTGATGTTTTTGGGAGAAAAATTGGAGTATTCTTTTGGTTTTATTTTGAAATTTGGGTCTCGTGTTTATCGATCGTTTTCATTTTGGACGAGGTAGCATCTGAAGTTTTTAGCGTCGCAACGGAGATCAAAGGGGCAGCAAAAGTCAACAGAAAAAGAAATGGCGGCAAATCATTACCAGGGAATACGGCTGTGGCGGAAAACATGGAATCAAAACCAAGAAAAACTTCGCTATGTCGTCTCTTTTTGTACACCAGATGGTGCCGTACCCTCTGGTGCAGAGCTATGTGCGTTCATACGTTAACGTGCGCCTCTACACACTTCTCTCTTCCTCTTTCTCAATGGCCGCTGTTTATGCTCCATCCGTCAACTTTCGGCAAAAGCATCTCCAATTAGCCTCTACTTCAATACCGCGAACAAGCCGCTAATAAGCTTTTCCGGCAGAGCGAAGCTTAAGCCTCTGGGGAGCAAACATCGGAGGAGCCGAAACCTTGTATGTCGCGCTGCTTCATCTGTTTCTATTCGCGATTTGGATGCAGATGACATTAGACATCCTCTGGATAGAAAGTAATTCAATATTGTTACTGATTTTCTCGTTTTTTTTTTTAAATTTGTTTGATTTATATACCCCTTTTTCTTGTGATTGCAAAATGCGTTGATCCTGAGAGCAATTCCAGGTCTAAACGAAATTGGAAAAGCTTTATTAGGTGCTGTAAATAAATAGCGGCTTGTGTTAATACCTTAATTCCTTGGGATTTTACCTGTAAATATGAAAAATATCTACGTGTGTAAATTGTAATTTTCTTGTGTACTGCTGATTGAAATTTACTTCAGGCCAAACAATGGATTGAGCTTTGGTGTATTTATGAGTATGTGGGCTGCATGAACTGTAGCTGAGCAACTTATGCTTCTGGAGAATATAGGGACATCTGTTCTTGTTTCCGAAAATCAGGTATATTTTTAGGAGGAAAAAAAAAGTTGTGCTTCTATTGCTTTGTCAGGGTATTTGAGTGGCTTTGGCTTGTTTCTATAGCTTCCTGAGCTTCATGAATTGATGACTGAGGCTGCGGGTTTGCTAAACATTGAGGCCCCTGACTTGTATTTACGCCAAAGTTTCGTTCCCAATGCATTCAATTTGTCAATCAGTGGAAAGAAACCGTTTGTTGTTGTTCATACAAGCTTGGTTGAACTTTTGTGAAGAAAAGAGTTGCAGATTCTCAGTTTTATCTAATTTGGTTCTTGAAATTTTGAAATATTATGGAGCATGGGTGTTCAAGTTGTACTCGGTTCATGTTGCTTTTTTTTCTCTGTATTCACATGCAGGCTGTTTTAGCTCGTGAATTGGGTCATTTGAAGTGTGATCACGGTGTGTGGCTCACGTTTGCTAATATTCTTACTCTCGGAGCGTATTCTGTCCCTGGTAGGGATCTCACCTTTCATTCTTTAGATACAGAATTTATTCTTGTGTAGGAGAATTTATTCATTGAGCTGAAGGTAAATTAGGGGAGAAATAGAAATTGAATGATCCTTTGGAAGGAAAATAAAAAGAATGATCTGAAAGTTGATCAAGTCAAGAGAGAGTGTTTGGTGGAGAAAGTCTAAAATTATTTTACTTGTCTTTAAAGTTCAAATAAAAGGAATCAATATTAAAAGTACACATAAGCATGCCTTTAAATATTGATTAAATAAATTGGAATCATAAGCAAAATTTTGCTTTTGAAAGCATTAAGATGTGATTATTCGCAGTTAAAAACTTACAATCTCATTTTTAAAATGTTGCAAAGACTCTATATATCTACTCTATTTCGTTGTAAGGCTCGGCAGTTTGATTGCTCAGACACTAGAAGAGCAACTCTTCCGTTGGATTCGAGCTGCTGAACTCACGTGTGATAGGGCAGCACTTGTTGTTGCTCGAGACCCTAAGGTAAGATGTAATTTAGAATCTACTGTACAAATCTTTTTTATTTTATACGCTCAGCTATAATTAATTAAAAGCATTGTGTAATCGTTCTCTCTTATGGGGCCTCCACAAGAAGTTGTCATATCAGTTCTGGTGAAATTAGCGGGTGGCTGTCCTTCTATGGCCGACCAATTAAACATTGATGCCTTCTTGTAGCAAGCTCGCTCTTATGAAAAGGCTTCTGCTAGCCCAATCGGGTGGTATATAAGGTAACCAAGATTTCTCATGTCATGAACTCTGGATGAATAATATATGATCAATAGACTGAGTTGTGAAAAATATCCCAAACGAGTGTGATTAATTTATATATCTTTCAGGAATGCTCAAACGAGGCAACTTTCGCACCCTCTTCCGGTTCTTCATGCTCGTGAGATTGATGAATGGTCCAGGAGTTCAGAGTATCAATCTCTTCTTAAGCGTGTGAAGTTGGTCAACTCGGTTAATGGCGTTTAGCATATACGCCAATGCATGGAAATTTCGAAAGATTTCCCTCTTTCTTTTGTATAGGTACAAGAAAAAGTTTCTAAATCCCTCTTCGCTGCTTAATATTAAAATGTTGCAGCTGCTTGAATGGAGATTGATAAGCATGTGGCTTCATCGCCTGTGTTTATTCGCTTCACTCGACCAAATATGTGTTTTTGCAAATTATTAAAATTGTGAAGGTGAGAATACTACATGAGCTCAGGTGGAGGTTAGTATTTTTCCTTGCTGATATTGTTTGTTGATTTGTGTGTGTACTAACACATTTCTGGTGTTTTATTGTGTTTATGAATGGAGAACATAAGAGGAAACAAATCCACTGATGATGGATAATTTGTTTGGAATGGTAAAAGCAGGACAGTATCAGATTTCTCTCCACCCCTCATTCAGCATCAAAGTGGTATGGTTATCTATTAAACCAATTCTCTTTTCTGTACCTCTTAGAGCATCTTTAATAATAAACCTCCATAAACCTCCTTTTATACTTCCCAACATGCCACATCATCCAAAACCTCATTCTTACTCCTACATCTATAAACGGTTTATAATAACAATAAACTTCATAAACCTCCTTTTCATGGGTCTCACATGTTTCATACTTATTTTTAATTAATATTATATTCTTTAGTGCCAAAAAAAATTAATATTATATTCTTACATTTTTTAAAACACATATAAAAATTAATTTAATTATAATGTTTCTCACTTGCTTTTAATTAATTTTATACTCATATTTATCATAAGTACATATAATATGATAAATATAATTATATTGTATTACTAACGACGTAAATGAGATTTTAATTAATATTACTCTTATATATATTATAATATTTTAAAAATTAATATCCACTTTTATTTTAATTCAAGCTAAATATTTCATATATTTACCATAAATCCATATAAAATCATTTTATATAAGTTAATGAATTATTAAAAAAATAATACTAAATTAGAAATAAATTTTAAAGAATAAAGTAAAAGAAAATGTAAGTAAAAATAAATAAAGAAAAAAGTGAAACATTTTTTTAAAACATAGTTTACCTCATGAATTTAAGAAATAACGAAAAAAAAAAATTAAAAGAAGGCACATGGGTGTGAACCAGTGGGCCATAGCCTCTCTACTCCAATTTTAGCAATTGGACTACACGTGCCCAAAGATTAAGCATGTGGATGAAAATGTGAACTCCACTTTCTTTTTTTCATTCCTTTATGTATTTTTTAAATTTTAATTTTAAGAGGTTTGAGGGAGGTTTGTGAACCAAACCTGGTTTGTGTTTACAAACCTCAAACCTCCCCTCTCTAATAGCAAAATCTAAGGTTTGTGTTTTTGAACCTCATCCAAAAGCTATTGTTAAAGATGCTTTTAGTTTTATTTGTTTTATTACTTTGTTCAAATCATGGCCAATCCAAAACGTGAATAGCAGCTAAGGCTTGTATATGAAATAAAACGATTTTTTATCTCATAAACGAAATTTCTTAAAAAGTTGCCTGCTTGATGGAACACGTCGCGTCAGACAGTTTGATGAAAGTTTTGCTGATCAATTACAATTACAATATATACGACAATATACGTAACTTCTTTTCCTTTTTCTTTTTATCACCAGCCTCTCCCGTTTTGATGGCCGAATTTACTTTTATTATCAGTCCTTAGTGCTTGTGATTCAACAGCCGCTAATTACTTTCCTTGTACATTTGCAGGTGAAAGCTTTCCTTAGGAGAGATTCTCTTTCATTCTCAACCGGGCAGCTTGAGGGTATAATCCTTGGTGAACATGTACACTCTTGTAATAATATGAGAAAAATGTCAAGTTAACAGGCATAATATATGTAAAGAGCTGTAAGCACGGCCCAAATAGTCGTGTAATGAGGCATGTGGTGAAAGATTATTTTGTTAACAAGCAGTGTCGAAAAGAATACAATCTTTTAGAAAACCTTGTGCATGATGTTGTCGTTTTGTCAGGCTTTAGAGAGCTCATGTTGTTGTGGTAAAAATTAAAGACTTTGTGTATGTTTGGAAGCACTTTTGTAATGAACTTTTGACTGTAAAAGTCTATTTCTTATACAAGAAGATGTTTGGTGTAAATAACAAAATGGACTTTTAAAAAAGTAACTCACACAAAAATCCATTTCAAAGAAGTTCTATATTAGACACTTTTTGACAAGTCACTTTTCAAAAAGTTCATCTTGAAATAGACTTCTCAATAAGTATTTCCAAAAAGTGAGAAGTTAAAATACATCATATATAGTTAATGCATAGATGGTTTTATGGTTCGTTATGATATAGTTTACCTTATGGTTCTTGTCAAGGAAGTAGTTCTGTTATCATCCGATTCGGTAAAACACAATTAAGGATCTTGAACAACATCTTAAGCGAATTTGACTCCAACACCGACGTGACCCAAAGTCATCCCGGTTCGCACAATAAACTGGAACAACCATAAAAGACCGAAGTAATCTCTACCCATCGAGGTCACTCCAAATTGAGGTCAACACGGACCGAGGTCGTCACCTCCTAAAGCAGGTGACAAGGCGCCTACACGCCCCTCTCACGATCCACGAGATTTGTTATCATTTACGTAGGGCCCACTGGCTCTGCCGCCCATCAAAAGTAGCTTTATCGGAAAAGCAACGCACGGATCCCGATGTATATACCAAAAAAGTTACTATAAATAGCTAGCTGATGGTACTTGTACGGGATTCGATTCCTGAAAAACCGAACTCTTTTATAATGAAACACGAAACAGCCCTTAAAGGCTTTTCACCTCGGTTCACCTCGTACCGGGGCCATTGTTGAAGTTTTTATCCATGCTTTACGTTCGAATTGATCATTATCACTAAATAAACACAAACCTAAAATCGTTGTTAGGAATCGCATAACAAAAGTTTGGCGCTAGAAGGAGGGCCTCATAAGTGATTTGAGGTTAATCTTCAATTCCTGTGTAGTGATCCATATCAGCCATATCAATTATGTCTCATTCAGATCATCGTGGTCATACGTCGCGAGATGGCCACAGTCGTTGTAACACCCCGCCTAGACTTACTAAAATCAGAGTAAATTTTTCGCGCTATAAAAGGAAGCTCTGTTTTAATTTTCGAAAACTCATATTAAATTTTCGAAAATACTTTAACTTTAATATGCGGGATGCTACTCAACTTTACTCTTAAATCTTTAATCTTTAATATATTTAAACAACTAGGCATGCAACCGAGAATAATTCATTTCTCTAAACATCTCAGGATTTAAGCATGCATAGACTGAAATTCTAAATACTGAAATACTGAGTGCGGAAGCAAATGTAAGAATGCATCAACAAGGCATAATAACTAAAACGTGCTAAAATATACATGACATGTCTACTAAAAATATCCTTACTATGACCGCCACCACATCATCAGCTCACACTCCACGCTCGACACCGTCACCTGAAAAATGGTTAGTGGGGGGCGTGAACATAAATAATCTATGTGCTCCGTCGGAACCAGCACTAAAATATACAGCTAACATAATAACATATCATGACATCGGTATATAAGCAAGTATTTACTGGATAGGCAGAAACGATATGATGATGAACGTTATACAAACTGATTAAACATTC